GAACAGATAGAATGAGTACCGTATTTACTCGAAGAATGAACACACTTTTTCCTAAAAATCAATGCAAAGTTGGGGAAGGGGGGGGGGGGGGGGGGGGGGGGCGTTCATTACGTGAAGTGAAATTTTTGTGTCCGTATTTACTCGCATAATGAGCAGACCTTTTATCCCGAAAAATCCATGTAACTTCTTATCTCTTTGCGCACGGCGCGCGACCCCGTAACCAAACTGGGCTGTGCAAAAAAAAAAAAAAAGAAAGCTCCTCTTTGTTTTGTTTTATTCTCTTAATTCTGTAGGTTTTGTTTGGTTTTTTTTTGCCGCTTTTCGCAAGCTGTTTTGTTTGCTTAGGCGAGGGCTTCTCCGCTTACCTTTCTTATCTCCTTGCGCGCGGCGCGCGGCCCCAAAATCCAGGCTGCGCTGTGCAAAAAAAAAAAAAGAAAAGCTACATGTTTTTTTTTCTTGCTTCCGTTCGATCTTTTTTATTTTTTTAACGCCTTTTGCAAGGCGTTTTGTTTGCCCACGCTGCCCATGCATTCACGACCTCGCTGCACCATAATAGAAAAGTGCATTCATTTCGCGCGCGTGGGGGAAGGGGGTCAAAATTTTGACGTCCCAGTTGGGGGTGCGTTTAATACGCGAGTGAAAAAAAAGTCAAAATTTTGAGAGCCGACTTGGGGGGTGCGTTCATTACGCGAGTGCGTTCATTGTGCGAGTAAATACGGTGTTTTTTGTGGCTGGTCGACCTGGGCAATGTAGACCTACGGCTGCTGGCTTCGACAGGGGTATAATATAAATATTGGAGGCACGATAGATCATAATGCCGTCACAGCTTCCAACTCTGCGAGACCCGTCCCCCACCTTCGGAAAGCAGATAATTTCCCTCATTATTCATATGCAGTGAGAAGGTTTCCCTGAATCAAGTAATTGCGAAATCAGCCCAACTCTTTCGGTGTGGTCCAGAGGCTTTTTCGGCGAAAAGCAACCAAGAGGAATGGCCAGCGCACCGGCCGGCGTGGGTGGCTCAAACTTGAAGCTAATCGAACACAACCAAACTCAAGAAAAGCAGCTATTGAACCTTCCCATTCACTTGACTGCAACATTGGTGTTCCCTCCAGTGAAACACCTCATCTGTCATCCTCAGTCTACTGTTCTACATCCTTATAAGGAAACCACTTATCAGTTACCAAGTAGCCGTCACTTTGAATGTGATTCGAGACGGACAAGAAATCAAAATGTTTTTCCGTGATTCTTCCCCATCCAAGAAATTGAAAGCATGCGACCGTATGTTGTGGAGTAAAGGGGCTTTCAAACACGTGATAGAAGGAAACAATCAACTGAGGCTTCACCACACTAATGAACACTCAGGCAAACTCAGGCAAAAATAAATTTTTGGACCTTCGCCAAATTACATTGTTCACCACCGCGCCGAAAACGTGTCCACGAAAGCCACCAAAGACGTGGAGTGGCGCGAAGCGACCTGGTCCGGCTGGTTCCCGGTTTTCCCGCTTGGTGGCGTCCGTTTTGCTGGAATCGCGAATAGCTTTGTTCCGCCACGCTTCCAGAAATAAAAGGAAAACCCACGAATAACACGTAAAATCTTGCATCTAAGACACAAGAATGACCGGATAAGAGGAAATAATGTGAACGTAGGCGCCTACATCAGAGGTCTTTGGAAACAACTGTAGTCAAAAATACAAGTTTCGTGGTTTCATTTTTTTTTTGTGACATTGCATTTTTTTTTAAAGGTGACCCGCAGAAGTTTTGGGCACATTTAGCTAAGAAAAGCAACTCTGTGACTGCAATCAAGCTTGACAATCACATAGCTGAAAGTGGTTGGTGTACACGAGCGACAACTCTCAGTTGCCATCGCACAGCGTGATGCATATCGTAATTCCGGAGGTTGTGTTGTTTATAAAGGGACTTTTCGATTACCTGCTTCGGCTTGACGCCAAAATGTCCTATGGGCCGGATGAGATTCCAAACATATTTCTCCGCAGGTATGCCTAACGGTACTCCAAATATTTTATGCCGTTTTCACACGCAGTCTTGATGCTGGAGTGATACCCAGGGAGTGGAAGGATGCCAGGGTTGTTCCAGTTCACAAATCTGGCACTGCCTCGGATATGTAAAACTGCAGGCTAGTCTCATTACGTTCAAGCAGCAAAGTTGTTGAATGTTTCTTATGCTTTTCTGGAAAAAAGCCGCTACTAAACCGTGTTGCAAAAGCCGCAACACGGTTTTCGACACAGCCTGTTGGCAGTTGCACAACTCTTAGGCACAGACCACGTACCGGCGAAAAATACTTGACGAAAACGCTGTTCGAATTTAGCTGCTTGTGAATACATTGAAAACATAGCAGCACAACCAAAATTATAAAATTCCTTTGAATTAAGCAGAACTATGAAATACTTGAGTTTACCTATCACGAGCCTACTGTGTAAAAGTTGGCACTTGGTAAAAGCACTGCCATAATGTGGTTGATGCGACAAATAAGACTGTAAAGTGTGTCGCTATTGTATTCGTAAACACAAATCTGTTGCAATGGGCTTTTTTTGCAAATGCTGACCCCAAGGTTCCATGCATTTCTCATGTTCACTGCATGAGGGTGTGCTACTTTGTAGAATGGTCCTTTACAGCCCCAGATGTAACTACAGTGTCATTGGTGATGCACGCAAGAGAACATTGCTTGGCCGTCTTTTAAAGACTTGCTTGGGAATGTCAAGTAAATTTTTCATTCCATATATTTTTTTCTGTAATTACCCCCCTCTTTATAAGTGTTTTTTTTTTTTTTTTTTTATATAGATGAAAAGATGCTTTACTGGAAGGTGTTGCACGAACTGAGTAGCTTCCCCAAAAGCTTGGGGATTTTAAAATGTTTAAAGAGGAACACTACCTGGGAATGCAAACTTTTGAACGGGTCACTCAATCAGCGTGATATTTACAGGTGGTGTTTGTAGTCATATAGATGGAGGGACGCAAAGTGTCAGCCCTGTGAACCAATTTTACAAGGTATTATATCCCCAGGACGAAGTAAAGTACAGCTTTGCATGGAATTTGCCCTATGAATATATCGTTCAGAAATTGTGTTGATAACCACAAATGTTTCTGGCGTAATGCATACTGGAATACCTGTTGCCGGCTTCTGTAGAAAGAAATTCCAAAAATTTTGCATTTCTCTAACAACAAAAAAAGACGATGAAAAAAAACTTTTTTTCATATTTACCTTGTTTTGCTACTTACAATTTTTCATAATGAAGGAACATAAAAATGCAAACTCTAAATTCATAGTAACCAGCTTCGTAAAAGTTTGGCACATAAGCCACAGATATTAAGTCTCGATAGTTTCATAATCAAAACAAATATTGACAGCGAGAGATTTATTTTAAATTCTGCGCGCAAAGTTCAGGACGTCACAGAATGGTCATTTGCTCCTTTTACCTCAACGTGAAGGCGAAGTCGATCCACCGCTCTTCCACGTGCCCGAAATGCCGAGAGAGGAAACAAGTAGAAAGGAGCTGAATACCAACAAAATCGCATCTTGCACCTACAATATTGCTCTAAAAAATTTTTTTCTGCTTAAATTTAATTTTTTGACACGCATGTCCAACCAAAATGTTTTAAAAAAAACTTTCTTTTTTTCTTTTCAGCGGCTTTTTAATGTATCCCACCTCCTTTAAAGGTATCCAAAATGTGGATTTTAGACAAACGCAAAGTGCTCGAACGTCTATTTTTTCTTTGGCATTTGAGAAGTGAAAATAATTTATAAAAAAAATAACTATGCACTGTAAACAAGTGAAACTTTCTGGGAATACTCTCTAGATATTGGCAGATGTAAATAGAGCATTTTTCAAAATCTACTTTTTTTGCAGAATTTATTGTGCAAATGTGGTACGATTCAGTATAATGTGGTACGATTCAGTATAAATGTTTTCTCTGAAAATTTAAAATTATGTTTTCATTTATTGTTTCTTTTTTACATTGACAAATCATTTTCTGTTCATGCCTGTTACTAAATTTTCTTTTGCTACAACCTGCTTTCGGTGTTCATGTCAGGGTGCTGTTTTTGGGGTGTTTAAAACCGGTCAAATGCTTACCTCACACAAGTGGCAGTACCTTTGGTCATTATTCTCTTCTCAACCTTGCAGGTCGACTCTGGCAACCACCGCAAGATGTGGCAAATGGCACATTGTTGCGTTGCAGGGAGACTTCTTCCCCCTTGCCAACTCAACTTTTTGGAGAATGCATTCTCTGTGCACTGTTCTTGCTTATACCAATCCAGCATCATCGAATCAAAATGAGCGTCTCCTATTGCATCAGACTAATCCCAGTTATTTAGATTAGCCCAAGCAGTCAACCAATGTGATTGCATTCACCCCCACTCCATTTATGCAAAGAAAACCAGTGTGATAGGGTTGTTTTGCGCCACATGCTCTAGCCTGGTGTTCGAGACAAGATGTCAGCAATTGTGGTTTTTTAATCTCACTTTTTTACTGGAACCAGTGCTTGGATACTCAAGTAGTGTGTCCTTTTTCATTGATGTACAGTGACATTGACTGCATGGTGACCTTTTCTAGAACATTATTACAATGGACAGATTTCAAAGGCTACATTCTATCTTCACTGCTGCCTTATATTTCATGGCAATTCCCAGGCCCAGAGATTAGGTTCTTTTATTGTTCCTTAAGGCTAAGGATGCGAGATGAGCTGATTCATTGAGAGATAAAGTGCCTATGAAAATTATGCATGAATGGGCTATGCTCCTTCAAAGTGTGATATTACTTTCGTGTAATAACAGCCTTACAGCTTTTCTTAATACTTGAATTGTTCTTATTTGCCGAGTCTGTCTTCTTTGTTCTGGAATGAACAGGTGCCGGTACGCTTGTTTGTGTGTACTAGTTCCTGCTGAACGCTATGCAGATTTGCCAAGCTTGTCTAATGCTTGCGTGTTTTCATTGGACTTTCACTGTCGTTAACGCTCCTTGTTTCTCGCGTCTCATTTACAGTGCCGGGCGAAGCAGCCTCCTCGGAAGATGAAGACAGCCAGAGCTTCTTCTCTGTCCCTAGAGAACTAGTTGAGTCACAACCCACGACGCGGCCACAACGTGGGGGCTTGTACCACTGCGAGTTCTGCCCTTACTTCACTCGTTATCTACATCATCTCACCAGGCACAAAAAGAAACACACGGGAGAGAGGCCTTTCTGCTGCTCTGTCTGCGAGATGGCGTTTGCTGAAATCGATACCTTACAGACACACATGAGGACTCACACAGGGGAGAAACCATATCGCTGCGAGGTTTGCCAGAAGTCGTTTGTAAAAAATAGTCGCCTGGTGATTCACAAAAGAGTCCATACGGGTGAGAAACCATACCAGTGTGGCATCTGCGAGAAAACGTTTTCGGATCAATCTAACTTCTTGACTCATAAACGAACCCACAGCGGGGAGCGGCCTTACAAGTGTGAAGCATGTGGGGAAGCGTTTGGCTCCAAAACCCATTTAGGTAGGCATAGAAAAAGGATGCACAAGTGAGGAATCTTAGCCATGGAATTTCTTGAGGTCGTACCTGTGGAAGAGTTCATGTTTTACCATGTGTTTCACTGCATGTATGTTGTTTGTTCACCGGGAGTTGAGAAACAGGGATATTCATTAGTTCTAAACATTATCAGTTGCAGTAGGCAACAGCTGTAGTGCCGCTTAGTAGCATTTTTTTTAACCCCTTAAGTGCCAAATTTTTTTTTTCCAAAAGTAACCTAAAAGTGCCAAATATTTTTTTTATTTTGAATTGTTATTTCTCTAGTATTACACATAAAATTTGAAAAGTTTATTTTGCACAAATCAGCGGAGGCGAAAAAAATATTGCCAACTAAAACGAGTTTTGCCACCTATAATCAGCGCCGCAAAACTACTCCGACAAGCCTAGCTTGTTCGTGGAATTGAGGGCTACCGAAAAAACCACTGGACGAGCTCAGGTCGTCCAAGGCACTTTAGGGGTTAATGGCTTTGTTGTATAGAGTTTTGCTGCTTTTATCTTTGGTACTATTTTGTATTATTTTTATTTGATGACGTATAGAGCTACTTTCAACCGTTCATTTTTAGTGGATGAGGAGCATTGGGGCTTATTAAAGCATTGGGGGGTCAACGGTTTTAACATTAAAAAAAATTTGCATCTCGTCATTTTTACGTTGTTTGTAGTGTCCTGGAGCGTAGAGGAAACATGTCCCTCATTAAAAAATGGTGCGATTCTGCTGCATTATCGCAGAGCAAAAGTCTAGCTATTTCCCCCATGTGATGCCGCAAGTGGCACCCGAAGGAACTACGGTGAAAAGATTATGTGACCTCGCTCAGCCCTAAGCTGCAGCAAAACGCCCGCTAATGTCAGCAGAGTGAGGGAGAGGAAGCGTCCTCTGAGAGAGCACTTGGGAAGCTAGGAGTACGACCAGGTGTGACCCCGGAGACTGGGAGAAAGTTGAGGGGTCCAGAAATGCCAATATTTATCTTCTTTTTACGCAACAACTAGGACACGCAGGCGAAATCTGTTTTCTGTTCTTTACTTCAGAAGTGTGAGAGGGCAACTTCCACAAATTTTGGCCGAAGTCCGGAAATCGTTGCACCCCCCCTTTATGGCACTTTGAACCCTGCGCATAGATTTTTGTGACAACATATTGAAAAGTGATTCCACCTTGGTTCTCTGGATTTCCTCACATTTTCACCTAGGTTTTCCACTTTGCTCCAGTTTGAATTGTGTTCCTGAAGTTCTAAAAAGAAATGTGTCTGTTACTGTACTCATCTGTTCTTTGTGAATTCAGTGAATCACAAGTAAACTACTTTCCTAGCTGAAGGGGTTGCCTTTCTGCCTGACTACCGTTGATGAGCATTCTACAATCTACGAGTTATACCGAGCAAGCTTTGGTTTCAACCTTTCTTGCACTTGATCTTTGCCAGCAGTGGTTGGGGCTAGGATTCGGTGTTGTCATGGGTGGACCATCTGCAACAAATTCTGCAAAATTCCTTATTCTGCTACAATTTGCAAAAAGGTTTGGAATCTTCATTCTCATTTATTAAATGGCTAATTTTTGCTTTGCATCACCGAGACAGCCTGGGGCTCGCTACGCTGCTATTTGTTACGACAGGCATGAGAATTGCTAAAGGGTCCATGAAATGATTTTTTAACTTTTCCCTCCTTAGCTCTTCTCCTCAACTCAAAAGTGAAATGAGGAATCGCGCAATCGTGACGTGCTTGGACACCGGTACGATGACTCCAAGCTTCCATTGGCCTTTTTGAGCACATCATGGAACTTGTCATTCACAAGCGATGATTACTACCGCCATGGCACTCATTGGCCACGAATGCAAATTTAAATGTGCGTGATGCAGTGCTCGTGTTCATCGTGTGAGCTGGGGTAGGCTGACGTGCTTCGGGTACCTCGTGTATGTATCGCAGTAAAAAGGTGAAAAGCTTTTCAAGGAAAAGAGGTATGAAATAGTCCGCTATAGATAGGAGAGAGAGAAAATTCCCTCCCCCTCTCACCCCGTGCATCGTCTGCTCTGCTGGGTGGGCTGTACCTAACATCCGGCTGGTGCTGGAACTCGGTTTAAAATCTTATCATTTTGGAAATTTCGAGCGCAGATGCGCAAATTTTAATATGCAAGTTATTGTGTAATGCTATGCTCGATAAAAAGACTGACTGAGTTAAATTGCACTGTTACCTGCATGCAAATAAAGAAAAGAAATGGGAAAACTGTCTGAGTGGCCAGTCTCACCGGCAAAAAGTAAATCCGGCTATAGCTTTTTTACTGTACAAAGTTCGTACTGGTGTAGGACTTTAGTGACAATGAGTGGAACACTGTGGTTGAAGGCAGTGCTGTCGGCTGACTCCCCTGCTATTGAAGTAACAGAACAAAGATAACGCTAGTTGATCATTTACTGAAATAAAACAATGGGACGCTGCACGCTGTTTTTGGGGTAGCCGAAGATATTCCAAGAACGCGAACCACTTAACAGCGGCAGCCACGAGCGAGAGTTTGGTGTTCGGAACAGCCTGCTGGTACAACCTAAAAATGGAGAACGGCAACCTCCCGGTTTGTCATTTGCTTGCGGAATCGGGGCACGTGAACTCTCTCCCGTTTTACCCGCCGAACCTGCTGAACTTCCCCGATGTCTGGAGGGGGCGCTGCGGTCGAACAAAATGGCGTCGCCCTGGGAGCTCTAAATGGAATGGTCTATACTTTCATATCGAAAAGCAGGCTTTTGCATTTGCATCTTTCGCTCTCATACGCTTCACGTAGAGCGTTGCATAAAATGTTTGACATTTGGAGCGTGTTGCCGCTATTACTCTGTGTGTTCCACCGGAGTCGTCGTCGGTTGTGCCTTGTTGCACCCTGTAAAGTCGACGGTGTGTCGCTGTAGTACTATTTTCCCATGAACCGCAGACTAATAAGTGCAGTCGGATGATGCAGCCGAAGTTACGTCTCCAGTGCGAGATTTCTACCTCCGATAACAGCTGGGCGTCCCGTAAGCCTCGGACACGTTGAAAGGCAACGAGTGCGTGCTGGAGTTGGCTGGAGGCCGGGCATTCGAACGAGAGGCGCTCTTTTGTGCTGAACGGCCCATATCGAAACTGAAACGTAAATCACACGTGTCGGGATTCTAAAAATTCTACAAAAAAAAAAAACACTATAAGTATACGTCTTTGTTGTTTCATTTTGTTTTTAACAGTAATTGCGTGCTTTTATAGTGAACCTCACTTTTATTTGGTACTAAACAGGTTTACCATTTGCCATATCCGATCAAATCCGACCTCTTGGCTACGCGTGGCTACGGGCCATCCTTGGGCCAAAGCCCGTCCATCCGATGGTCGCGCTTAGCTTTTGTGTTGGTTGTGTGTGTTCGGTTGCGTGTCCGTCATTCTGGACTCTGGTGCTGTTTGGGTGTTTGAGTGGTTTGAGTCCCATTCGAGATCAAAAGAGAAGCATCAGGAACCCTTGACGGAAGCCACTGTGAGTAGGCAGTTGTCAACTTGGTGGAGATCGAGCGCGCTGTGACGCGGTGTCGAGCTGTTCTGAGTTAAAACTTTGCGCCTTCTTGCTATGAGGACGGTTGTGGTGGGGCGATTCGATGATAGTCGACGCGGGATGAGAAGATGTAATTGGTGCTGACACTACGGAACGTGTTTAAGTGGGCCTCTTTCGTTTATGCGTGAGTAAAGCCACGGTCTCGTAGCAACAATCGTGTAGTTGGCAGCAGTGACGCTCGTTTTTGTGTCGATGTACCTAAATCCCGACACCGACAAGACTCGGATAAGGCAGTGCACGCAGACTGTTGGGTCCTCTTACCGGATCGGAGTGTCTAGAGTTCAGCCCAGACTGCACGATATCAGATGCAGCAGAGTTCCGTCTAGACGGAACGACAGCAAGCCCTGGGGGGCTATGTTGCACGTTTTGGACTCCCTGGGTACTAGGGAGAAGGAAGTGACGTCAACAACGCAGCAAATGCAGATTGGATGTTGATTTTGTTTTCTTCTGTCAGCATCCAATCTGCGTTTGCTGTGTCGTTGACGTCACTTCCTTCTCCCTAGTCTCCTGGGAGTCCAAAAAGCACAACATAGCGCCCCTGTAGAGCCCCTTTGGTTCCGTCCCAAGGGCCCAGTAGAGAGTATTCGTTTCGTCTAAGCTAGAGTAACAATACCGAGCTCTCGGACAGTTTTTTTTAATGCTGAAGGTGTGTTTTTGGTGCAATATTTACAAGGTGGGGCCACATTACCAGTTTCTTACCATGCGGCCCTAATTACAAAATATGAGCTGCAATCGAGGAGCAGCTTTAGCGGAAAGTTGAGAAAGGGAGTGCGCCCTCATTGCGACAAAGCATCCCAGCCTCGGACTTTGCATTGCAATAGATTCTGTTACTAAGGAAAGCTGTAGAAATGCTGAAACATGCACCGTGTTCACTGGATCTGGCTCCTAGTTCCTCACTTTTAAGCGCCGTTCACACATATGCAACCGAGTAAGACAGAGAAAGACCAGACCGGTGTTTAAGCCTCTTGCGACGTCTTAAGGCCCGTTCACACTCTTGCGACATTTTAAAACTGGGTTTCTTAAAACCTCTTGCAACGGGAGGACACACTGGCACTATGTATTGGGTAGCAGTGTAAACTTGGTGGTCCAGCATATTTTCTATTTCTCTCGCACATTATCCTTTCTTTCTTGGCTCGAAAAACTTTTGTCAACGTTATAAACGAGCCTTTCTTATAGGCATTACGCACATTTGACCTCGGAAATCCCGCAAAGCCTTCGCTCTTGTGAAATGCAGTCCCAGGGTCACCGCATAGATGGCACCAGCATGCCAGTGTGTTCCCTCGTCCTAAGAAATTTTAAGAGGTTTTAACAAGTCTCGGTCTCTCGGTCGTACTCGGTTGCAAGAGTGTGAACAGGCCTTTAGGACTGGATGCGCTGCAGCGGAGCTGGTCCTAAAACGTCGCAAGAGGCTTAAAAACCGGTCTGATCTCTCTCGGTCTTACTCGGTTGCATCTGTGTGAACGGCGCTTTATGGTGAAATCCACTGGTAGATTTGGAGCGCTTTCCAAAATCCGCGAAGGAGGCAAAATCCCGCTCCGTAGGACCCGCTTCGATTTGACAAGTAAAAGATAAACTCTCGGCTTTGGAGTGACCCAACAATTTGCCCGAGACAGTTGGCCATTCTAAATGGCCGCTGCTTGAACTTGACAAGCCAATCAATGCCTCAGTTGACTGATATTTCCTACGACCAGTGACAACTGTCACTGCTT